CATTGATTATTATCCCCTCCATATATCATCAGTTTACAGTGTTTCTCTCTATCCTCTTTAGCTTTTTTTTTTTTGGATGGGGTAAATAATTTTTAATATCCAAAAAAAAAGCCAATATGACAGCATTTTTCAAGATCAAACACGTGCTTCTAAAATGGCTTTGACTTGTTTTGAACTTTCAACGCACGTTAAAGAAACACCAGGGATTTTGTGTATTTATCATGAAGACAGAGGTTTCAAAAAGAGAAAAAGAAACACTCTCTTAGACTGAAGAAATGTTTGAATTCTAGTAAAACTTTCCAGAGTAAACCTCTGTTTAGCTTTCTCTTCTTGAGAAAGAAAGGAAACTTGGTGTAAAATGAGGATTTTTCTGTTTGGGTTCGAATTCTCTAGCCTAAGTGAGAGAAATGTCACACCAGCTTTGTTTGTTAAAGATGGAGTTTCACAAAGCAGTTTTAAAAAAAAACAAAAACAAAAAAAAACTTACTTTTTAATCAAAATCCTTAGAGGGTTACACAAAGTGAAAACTATACATCTAATTATAGGAGGGAAACCTAAACCCATCAATAGCCAGTAGAAATAAGACAGAATTTTACTCTATCCCACAGGTTGTTTAAAAACAGACTTTCCTATGAAGCTTGTTTTAAAAGGAGGAAACGCTGTTTTCCTTTGTTATTCTAAAAAAAGATAAGAAATTCATAGACAGAGCTCTGAACATTTGTTACAAAACATAATAAAATTAATCTTTTTACAAAAGGGGTAAAGCTAGAGAGCTAGTAACTACAGAATATTCCCGGATTCTTCTTCACAGGTGATTAAAGACACACAGAACTTCACACTTCTTTTAGTGCTCAATACCATAAAGTCTGGTGTAAGCACGTGCATTTCATTTTGGGTTTATAAGACTGACCAGGAAACAGATTCAAATCACATCATTAAATACACATCTCAGAACCATATTTTACAAGTTCCAGGCGACTGGCTTGGGGCATTGCAGATTTCAGAGTGTTTAAGGGGTTGTTTTTAATTGACTTATGTTTGCAAGCTTATGGCAGGAAGGGTTTAAAAAATTATCAACAACAAGCTCAAATGTCTTCTGCTTTGTGAAGATTTCCCCAAGTCTCCCAGGCAGTTAATAGTGTTTTTCATGGTCCCATAGCATTTTGTTGACAAATGTTCTTATACTTTCTCTCTTCCCATGTTGGCTTCCCCACTATGTTGCAGGATCTTCTAGGACAGGAACCACACCTTAATTTGTTTTATAGCACACAGCAGGGACTCCGGCAGTTCGTGAATGAATGAACTACACAAATTACAAGCAGATGCTTAGACTATCATGAGGTCTAAAGAGACAAGACAAAGAGCTATGATGATACAATGGTGATGTGCCTGGCTCTTGGAACTCACCCTTGGTAGAGAGCTGGCACCGTTTCCATGAAACTTGTTACTGGTGCTGTTCAGTGCTGCCGAGCCAGTTCCGACTCACAGTGACCCAGCAGAGGGTTTCAAGGAGCAGCTGGTGAGCATGAGTTGCCAAGTTTGCAGTTCAAACCAAGACTTCAGTCCAGTGCTTTTACCCACAGCACCGCACCAGGACACAGACGTACAAATTCAGCAATTCCACCGGGCACTATTAAGGGAGTAATGCACCTGCCCTAGTCTCTACATTTGGGGCCAGCTTCTGTCTTGCAAAATTGAGCTTCTAACATAAAGTCACTAGAAATAATGATTTCAGATGTCTTTCTTTTCATTTTTGAGAAAATACACATCTTTCCTTGACATCTACAAAAGACTTTGAATTTGTCGTTTTATGTTTTTAAAAAAAAGGTTCTACATAAGAAATCAAAACTTCTCATCACTGGAGCTATAAATAACATCAAGATAAATGGAGAAAAGATTGAAGTGGTCAAAGATTTCATTCTTCTCGGATCAGCCATCCACAGTCATGGAAGCAGCAGTCAAGAAATCAGATGACATATTGCATTAGGCAAATCTGCTGCATGAGACTTCTTTGAAGTGTTCAAGAGAAAAGATACCAGTTTGAGGACTAAGGTGTGCCTGACCTAAGCATGGTATTTTCAATAGCCTCATATGCATGTGAAAGTTGGACAATGAATAAAGAAGACCATATAAAATTGATGCATTTGAGTTATGGTATTGGAGGAGAATATTAAAAAATACCATGGAACACCAAAAGAACAAACCAATCTGTGTTGGAAGAAACACAGCCAAAATGCTCCTTAGAAGCCTGGATCTCCAGACTTCCTTTCTCATACTTCAGACATATTATCAGGTGCGACCAGTCCCCGGAGAAGGATATCAGAGGATGATTAAGAATTTACAGATCCCTTTAAAAAAAAGTTCAAAATTTGCTGTGATGCATGAGTCGTAAATATCCTTTAATATTAAAAATCACACTGTTAAGTGCCAATGATTCACTTCTGACTCATAGTGACCCTGTATATGGTTTCCAAGGAGCTGTTGGTGAGCTTGAAACCGCCAAACTTGTGGTTCAAACCAACCTTGCAGACCAGCACATTAACTCACAGTGCCACACCATGCCTTATTAGTCTCACATTTAAACTGGAAACATAGAATACCAAATGTATACAGAGCTTCCTCAAAATCACAGTGTAGGGTTGATCAGAATGGGCAATTTAGACATTGGCTATCAAACACAGGGGCTATAAAGGCATGAAGTGGCTGGCTTACAAACTTTCATGAGTGTGCTTAGTTACAGAATGAGGATAGTAATTTATAATCCTTATACTGAATAGTTTTGGAAGAAGTGCAGCCAGAGTGCTCCTTGGAGGCCAGGATGGCTAAACTTCGTCTCTCATACTTTGAACATATTGTCAGGAGGGAACAGTTGCTAGAGAAGGATGTCATGCTGGGTAAGATGGAGGATCAGAGAAAAAGAGGAAGACCCCCAACAAGATAGATCGGCCAGGTAGCATCACTGATAGCGCCAAGTGTGGCAGCGGTAGTGAGGTTGGTCCAGGATTGGACATTGTTTCGTTCGTTCTGCTGTGCATGGGGTCACAATGAGTCGGTTCCGACTCGATGGCACCTGACAACAACAACAACAATTGAATAGTTTTTGATTTTCCAGATGGATCTGGTGAAAGTGGGTGGGGGGTGATGGTGATAGGATTTTATGGTTCAATTGTGAGTAATTGTTAGAAGGAGTAACTGAGATTGTCACAACTATAATTGGAGAAGATGTGTAACTAAAAAGAGAGAGTCGTTAATCTTTCATTTCAGGAACAGAGGACCCCAGAACCATCAGAAGGAGGAGCATGAGTGCAGCGTGAGGTCCCTACCCAGAAAAGTGGCCACAGCAAAGACAGTGGCAGAGGCAACGGGGCATGGAGAGACAGAGCAGCTGCAGGTTCTAGGCCCATGGACAGAGAAAGGTTATATGCCTGCAGGCAGGTGGGTGGCTTGCAAAATGTACCCTCTGAACATTTAAATGAGTATATACTTTTTGTTTTGTATGTGTACATCAAATATTTTTTGCCTAGTTGATTTGTGAAAAAGAAGATGTAAAAGGGACGTCAAAGGGAGGAAACAGGATAACTTCCTGCAGGGAGGGGATTGTAATTATTTAGATGAAACAAAGCGTATGATTGGTTGATAGTAAAGCTCATGATCTTGTCTGTTGACCTCCATTAACCTCACAATAAAAAGTTTTTTTAAAAAACTACAAGCGTAAGCAGGGGAAGCCCCTCAACTCCAACACTACTGGAATCTGTTGGGCCAGGAGCCCAGCTTGTCAGCGGACTGCAGATGAAACATGGCTGCCAGACACCAGAGACTAGGGCTTGTTTGTCCCTGGAGGAGGCGAGCCAATTCTCCTGTGAAGGTCACCTTGAATATCATAGGCAATAAAAAGACATATCCAAGAAACAGAATTATTATTTTCAAATACCTGTACTATCAATTGTAACTCTCTTCTTTCTGCTTCCCATTGTTCTGCTTGTAATCTAAACTCCTCCAGCGCTGCCTCCCGGACATGAGACTCCATCTCATTCTTCTCCTGCTGATGTGTGGCCAATGCCTCCTTTGTAGGAATGAAATCTTGCTTTACTATTAGATCCACAAAAGTTTACTTGCTTCTTTCATCCCCAGTTTAATTAAATAAAGGGGCTTTTCTTACCTGTTGTTGTTAGATGCCATGGAGTCGGTTCCAACTCAAAGCAACCCTGTATGATGGGGGTGTATTATTTTTAAGTTTGGAACGTAACTATTTTCTAGTCCTGCAGGTTAACAATATCTGCAAAACATCCATTTCTTAGTCATACTATATTTAGAAGATCTAATTTGACTCATGATCTTAAAAATATAACATTCAGGGTTCCTTGTCCTTGTTGTTGTTGTTGTTATGTGCCGTGGAGTCGGTTCCGACTCATAGTGACCCTGTACAGGGTTTCCGGGGCTGTAAACCTTTACCGGAGCAAAAAGCTTCATCTTTCTCCTGCGGAACAGCTGGTAGTTTCCAACTGCTGACCTTGCAGTTCACAGCATGATTTGTAACCACTACACTACCAGAGCTCCTTAGGAGCTTAGTTTTCTGTGGTATAAAATGAAGCCCCTGCTAACCCCAGGAGAAAAAGCCTGCCAGGTCTGTATAACAAGAGACCTCCCCTCCCAACTTTCACTAATGGAAAGGTCATCAGGAGCAACTTGGAGTGTTTTTCTCCCAAGAGCTAACCACTGACTCCTATCAACCACAGGAGTCTCTGGGTAGCTCAAGCCATTAAGTGCATGACTAGAAACTGAAGAGTTGGCAGTTTGAACCCATTCAAAGGCACCTCAGAAAACAGGCCTGGTCATCTGAAAGGTCACAGCCTTGAAAGTGGTCTGGAGCAGTTCTGTGCTGCACACATGGGGTCACCATGAGTAGGGATCAACCTGATGGCAACTAACAACAGCTCAATCCCAGCTCCCAAAAGATCTCTGTGCAAGTCAGAGAAGAGAAAATGCCAACAGCCTAGCATCAAAGCCGGACTCGTCTGAGTAGTTAATCAAGGTCATAATCAAGAACTTTCTGTCTTCGGGTGAAGGCTGATTGACTATAAGGCATATTCTTAATACCCATCACACGGCTTCCTCTTAGCACCAAGACATTCTATATGATGAAGGTTATATGGGATCTCCTTGACATTCTATATGGTGGAGGTTATGTGGGGTCTCTCTGACATTCTATAAGGTAGAGGTTATATGAGATCTCTCTGACATTCTATATGGTGAAAGTTATATGGGACCTCCCTGACATTCTATATGGTAAAGGTTATATAGGCCCTCCCATGACATTCTATATAGTGGAGGTTATATGAGGCCTCCCTGACATTCTACAAGGTGTAGGTTATGTAGGGCCTCCCCACCCAGGGATCTGTAATACTAGCCTCCACTTAAGCTTTACCTATTGAAATATATATGCTGTGCTTTTTAAAAAATTTAAACTCATACTTTTAAAAAATGGCAAACATAACAATGAAAAATCTTTCTTCTAAGGGGCTGGTAACAGAAACCTTATACCATATTGTTTTACATTAGAGAGCAACAAAGAAAAACAATGGAGAAATAAATACTTCAGAATAATTTTAGTAAATATTCATTAAATATTTAACACATCACATAACTACATAGAATGTACTCTATGTAGATAATAAAATTTGCATCAAATATAGGTAGTGGTGGTGGTGTGCTGTGGAGTCATTTCAGACTCATAGCGACCCTGCACAAGGTTTTCCGAGGCTGTAAATCTTCACAGGACCAGAAAGCCTCATCTTTCTCCCGCGGAACAGCTGGTAGTTTCAAACTGCTGACCTTGAAGTTAGCAGCCCAACTAGTAACCACTACACTACCAGAGCTCCTTAGATATACAAAGTATTCTCTATATTTTCTAAATATACAAAGTATATTTTCTACATTGAGGTGGCTTTAAAAAGTTTATAGAAAAATTCTACCCTCTCTTTTTGCATAATTTACTGAGGGTAGCTGTTGTTGTTAAGTGCCGTCGAGTCGGTTCATTGATGGTAGTAGTAGTAAGGTATCAAGTTTAGCACATTGACAAGGTCTAGGCTTGCCCTAAGACTTCATTTAGGGTTATGGTTAGCACTAGGGGTAGTGAAGGGAAGGATCTGGGCTCGGGCTAGGAGTAAGGCTTGGCCTAGTTTTAGTGTTACAGTTAGGTTTTGTGGTTTTTTTCTTTAACTCTATTTGATTTTCTCTTCATCTGGAAGTCCTATCACTATATTATCCCCTCTTTTTTACTGTTTGGGGTATTTTGTTGTGTAAACTACTGTCTCTGAATTCACTACTTTTTAATCTTATAGGTTTGTTTTACTTTGAATACTTCTGTATCTGGGTTTAGTTCTGGGTAATATTGTCATGGACGCTAATATCAGGTTTATTGTCTGCTTTTGTTGATTCTCTAACATATTCCCTTTAGTATTTTTCTTTAATAAGATTGGTCTGGTTTTTACATAAGCTTTTCATTTTTGTTTATCTGGAAATGTCCTAATTTTGCCAACCTAATTAGTGAATAATTTTGCTGGGTCTATGATTTTTGGTTGGCAATTTTTTCTCTCTCTCAGAGTTCTACATATGTCATCTCATTGTGTTCTTGCCTGCATGGTTTCTGATGAGAATTCAGCGTGTCTTATCAGTTTTCCTTTGTCGGTAGCTTTATGTTTTTCATAGGCTGCTCTCAGGATTCTTTCCTTGTCTTTCGTTTTGAGAGTTTGATTCTACTATGTCTTCTTGATTTCTTTTGGGGCCTATTCTGCTTTCAGCTTTTTCAACTTCTTGTATGTGTCTCTTCTCGTCTTTCATGATGTTAAGGAAGTTCCAGTAACAACTGGATAATTTTCTCTACTTTTTTGTTGCTGTTGTTATTTCCTATTCTGGAATTCCAATCACATATAAATTAATCTCTTGATAGTGTTCCACATAAATCTTAGGCTTTCTTCAGACTTTTAAAAATTGTTTTCCTGATTATTCCTTTAGTAGATGAATACTGAGGCTAGATTTCAAGCCCAATAATTTGGCCTTCCATTAATTCAATGCAACTTGTTTGCCCTTCCAATTTCCTACCAATTTCTGAAATCTTACTATTAATCGTCTGGCTTTCTAATTGGTGTTTTGCGTTATTTCTAATTTTTCATTTATTTTATTAATTATTTTTCCGATTCTTCTAAAGTGTTGCCTGTGTTATCCTTAATTTCACCTGCAATTTTCCTGATCATTCTCTCAATCTGTTAATGGAATCTAAATATCATTCTTATAATTCATTATCAAGTGGTTTCAATACCATTTCTGGTATTATATTTTCTGACTCCGTATTTTGGTCACTTGTTGGAGACACTCTGTCTTGTCTCCTCAGTTAAACTGAAATTGTTATTTTCTCCAAGACATTGTAGTGTCATTGTATTTATATTTAATTGATGATTGTGTGTTGATGAAGGAGCTCTGGTAGCATAGCTGGTTACCAATGAGGCTGCCAACTGCAAGGTCAGCAGTTTGAATCTAACAGTCACTGCACACAAGATTATGAGGCCTTTTTAATGTTCCCATTATAAAGATTTATAGCCTTGGAAACCCTACGCAGGGTCATTATGAATGAGTCAGGACCAACTCCACAACAAACAATCCCACCATGTTGATGTGTAAGAGAGATTACAAGTGTGGACGCAGTTCTTTGTTGGCTGTTTGTGTAGGGTGGGCTCATGTACCTCTAGACACTGGGGTGGGATGCCTGCATCCAACCTCAGGCAGAGCAGAGGCTGTGCAGGACCCTGCATAGGGTTGCTGGGTTAGTGAGTAAGAGAAAACCACACCCAACCTGCTGTCAAGCACCAGTTGTACCCTGTGCCTATAGGCAGCTATAGTAATTGTTGTTGTTAAGTGTGTTTGAGTTGGATCCAACTCATAGTAGCCCTGTATAGGGTTTCCAAGGAGTGGCTAGTGAGCTTGAATTGTCGACACTGTGGTTCAAGCCGACCTTGCAGTTCCACGCATTAGCCCACAGCGCCACACCAGGACTCCACTATATCGACTGTTGTTGTTAAGTGCCATCGAATTGGCATCAACTCATAGCAACCTTATGTACGGCAGAACGAAACACTGCCCGATCCTGGGCCAACCTCACTATTGTTGCCATGCTTGAGCCTACTGATGCTGCCAATCCATCTTGCTGGAGGTCTTTCTCTTTTTCTCAGACCCTCCACCCTACCAAACATGATATCCTTCTCCAGCGACTGGTCTCTCCTGACAATATGTCCAAAGTATGAGAGACGAAGTTTGGCCATCTTGGCCTCCAAGGAGCACTCTGGCTGTACTTCTTCCAACACAGATCTGTTGGTTCTTTTTGCAACCCATGGTGACAGCAGCCCACAAAACTCAAGGTGTTCCTGCCCTCTGGGCCAGCCTACAGCCCACCTATTTTTCTTCTCTTTGGCTACTCCTGGTCAGCTTCCTCTTCCAGTCATCACTCAATCCAGCTATCTGTCCTATTCTCTGAAATTCAGGCTTCCAAGATTACCTTCCGTATATTTCACTTGGTAGCCCATGTTCTTGTTGTGGAGGGTCTGCTCAGCACAACTGCCTTCTTGCCTACTCAGACAACTTGCCCCAGAAGTCAAATTCCATTATCCTTTAATTTCATTTTTCCACCAATTTTTTAAGCCTCCTCAAATATTCATACCAAATTCTAAGATCCATATGTATATAATTCTAAATTTTCATATTGCTGGACCAAAAAGGCTAAATATTTTAATCTTAAAACATGTCCATGTAAATTTTTTTTTTCTTTTTTAATCTCAAACTATTTTTTTCACAAAAGAAACAATATTCAATAGCATATTGCAATAGCATGTAACAAAAGAGTCTATTAAAAATACCCCAAAGGAAAAAAGAAGGAAGGGACGAAGAAATAAAAAGGATAGAAGGAAGAAGAGGGAGAGTTAAAAATAAAGTAAGAGAGAAAGAACAAAGAGCAGATTTTCTTGCTTTCTAGTAGCTCGTTTTCTTTCCCAGGACAACTTCAAACACTATCTACCCCATCTCTATGAATGACACAGAGCAAAAAGCCTCTGTGAAGACTACTTTACCTGTAGCATTTTCTCCAGTCTGCTTTTATCTTTCATAAGTAAATCACAATCTCTATTGCAATTCTGAATTATATTGTCTCTTTCTTCCAAATCTTGTTCAAATCTTCTACATTCTTCTTGCCATTTCTGCTGCGAAGTCTGAAATACTTTCTCCATTTCATTTGCCTTTCCTTGAAGTTCTGAATTCTGAGCTATTAAAAACAGAAAAGGATAACGGTACATTTACAACCATGAGTTAAAATCACTAGGATTCCAAAAACATAGGCATTGGAGTTGATTTCACCATTTACAGTGTGCTTCTAGGACAAAAATTAAACCTTTCCACACCAGAAAACTTTTGAAAACCTCACTATCACTGAACCAATCGATTCATAATATCTCAATCAATTCTTCCATTTCATACAAAGGTGAGCTTGCTATTCCGTGACATGATATATTCCTGAAAACTCTTTTCAAGATCCCACATGGAATATAGGAATCTGGGTGCTAGCTTTTGGAGGAAGCACATTGAAAATGTGAGCTGGTAGGAACGGTCCCAATATTCAACATTCAGTATGCTACCTTCCTGTTTTCTCCATGATAGAGGTCCCCTTGTCCTAATCTGTCTGGTGACCCTCTGTTTTACCATCTCCAGAGTTTCAGCCTCCCGATGCCCACTAGGAAATGGACGTAGTTCCACAGCAGCGTGCTCTTGATAAGAGGACCTAAGGACCTAACCATCAACAGCTTTCCTTCATTCCTCCCTTATTTTACCCTCTCTGCTACTCTCATTCCTAATTCCAGAATAACTTGATATCTACAGCTCAGAAGCCATTTGCTAACTAACTGGCTTAGGGTTCTAAGATCTCAAGTGTGTACATAGTTACCCAAATATCTATGTGCTTCCTAGCTTCCCAAAATTTCCCTCGTTTTCCCTCTATTCTGTCAATCATTATGAGACTATATATTTTTTAACATTCTTTAACTCCGTTAGTCTGTTTTTAACTCCAACTCCCCAATTTATATATATGTGTGTGTGTGTGTGTGTGTGTGTGTGTGTGTGTGTGTGTGTTCAAAGCATGGAGCCCTGAGTAGACAGGGATGGGTAACTTGGACATTGGATACCCAAAATGGAGACCGGGGGGCTACAAAGGCAAGAAGTGACTGGCTTACAAGCTTTCAAGAGGGAACCTAGATCCAGAGGGCCTGGAGGAAGGTAGAATCTCCAGTGAGTAGTATTCAATCTGACTAGGCAGAGCTGATGCAATGAAATACAGACGGGTATCTTGTGATACAATAGTGAATAAATGTTATTAGGACTGATTGTGAGGGTTGGAAATGTAAAGGTAGACATTTTATAGCAAGGAGGGGAGTGATTAACTTTTCAGTCTAGGAGCGGAGGTCCCTAGGACCATCAAGGGAGAAGAGCAGAGAGTGGGACCCTACCCAGAGAAGCAGTGATGCCTGAAATGGAGCCAGAGATGATGACGTGGAGCAATGGAGCAGCTGGAGACTTTAGATCCAGAGAGGGAGAGCGACTGTGTGCTGAAGACCTGGGGGGGACCGGGGAAGGATTGCATGGAGGGGATTGTAACCATGGCAATGAGACGATATATGATAGAATGAATGTAAAACTAATGTTCTCCCATGTAAACTATCACATAATTCACAATAAAACATTTAAGAAAAAAAACATGGAGCCCTGGTGTGGCGGTATAGGATAAACACTAAACTGCAAGGGTGGTTTGAACCACAAGGATGGCAGTTCAAACTCACGATGAGCCGCTCCTTGGAAACCCTATACAGGTTCACTAAGGTTGGAACCAAGTTAACAAGAACAGCACATTTTCTTTATCACACAAAATTCATCTATTCATGCATGTATCCATCCATCAGTCCAGCAAGCATTTAGACACATTTCAAAGCAAGCTGCTATATTTCACTATATTTTGATATGTTTTATTCCTAAATAATTCAGCATGCAAAACTCACCAGCTACTTATAAGAAACGCTATCCCTATGATTCAGAACTGGCTCAAAGGCACTTAACAACAACAAACAAGTCATTAACTAGAATTCAATAGTTTTACTGCTTTCTCAGGTAAAATTTACGTACAGTGAAATACATATAAATACTAAGGGCCCCATTCTAAGACAATGACAGGGATCACAAGATTTACAAGGACATACACTCATGTAACTCTGTTGCTGTTGTCTAGTGCCATCGAGTCAGTAAAGGCTCATAGCAACCCCATGCAATCTTGCCCAGTCCTGCGCCAACCTTACAATTGTTGCTACGCTTGAGCCCGTTGCTGCTGCCATTATACCAATCCATCTCGTTGGGGGTCTTCCTCTTTTTCACTGACCCTCCGCTTTACAAAGCATGATGCCCTTCTCTAGGAACTGGTCCCTCCTGACAATATGTCTGAAGTCTGATAAATGAAGTCTGGCCACGCTGGCTTCTAAGGAGCACTCTAGCTATACTTCTTCCAACACAGAGCTGTTTATTTTCTGGCAGTCCATGGCACATTTAATATTCTCCTCCAACACCACAACTCAAATGCATCAATTCTATGATCTTCTTTATTCACTGTCCAACTTTCACATGCACATGAGGTTACTGAAAATAACACAACTTGGGTCAGGCACACCTTAGTCCTCAAACTGACAACTTTGCTCTTAAACACTTTAAAGAGGTCTTGTGCAGCAGAGTTGCCTAATGCAATAGTCATCTGATTTCTTGACCGCTGCTTCCATGAGTGTTGACGGTTGATCCAAGACAAATGAAGTGTTTGACAACTTCAATCTTTTCTCCATTCTTCTTGCTGTATCACCCCCCATTATGTGATTGGATGTGATTAGTCAATCAATCAGTTACAGTAGGGCTATGGTGGGATGCAATACCATTATTCAGGTCACAGCTTTCCTGGATTACCTTCTACCTTACAGAGATAAAAGGCAAGAGAAGCAAGCAGAAAAAGTGGAACCTCAGTACCACCAAGAAAGAAAAGCCATGAGCAAAGCATGTCCTTTGATCCCAGGGTTGCGTCATTGAGAACCTCCTAGACCCAGGGGAAGACTGACACCAACACACAGGGTGATCTCGGAGGGGCACTGGGACCACAGATGCCGAGAGGAGACAAGGACCTTCCTCCTAACCTGTGAGCTGACAGACAGACAAAGCCTTTCCTCAGAGCTGCTGTCCTGAATGTACACTAGTCATCTCCTTAACTGTGAGAGAGAAATTTCTGTTGGCTAAAATCATCCATTTGTGTTATTTCTATTACAGTAACACCAGATCTCTAAAACAGGTGATAATCCTAAACCTAAGAACAAATAGAAACAATCTTACCACGGAGTTTTTCTTGAATCCTCTGTGCCTCGGCTAATTTTTCTTCAGCAGCCCGTCTTCCAAGACCAGCCTCTTTTCTAGCAACAGCCAAGTCATATTCCAGACTTTGTCGTAGTGCTTCTCCTTTTTCAACCTCAGATCGCAGCTTGGCAATCTGGCTCTCATAACTCGCCAACTGAAAACAGATTTCCGATATCAGGAACCAATATTAAAATATGTCTCCAATATTATGAGATCATGCACTCAACATTTAAATTTTTTTCAAAAACATATTTCCAAAATATTTATGAGCTAAGCCAAGGATTTATAAATTTATACTTTAAGAAAAACTGGAAAAGAAGCCATATCTTTGTTCACCAAATGATACTAATCAATTTCCTTATTTGAGAGAATCCACTAGAGAAAAATATCTTATATGAACTTCTTAAAAAAATAAAGAAAAGTCACAAGATTTCATCAGAAACAGTTATACCTAACACACTAGGATAGCTAGTTTCAGAAAAACAGAAAATAACAAGTATTGACAGAAATTTCGAGAAACTGGAAGCCTCATCCATTGCTGGTGGAAATGTAAAATGGTACAATCACTTTGGAAAAAACAGCTTGGTGGGGCTCCTTGTCATGAAATGAATTGTGTCACCCCAAACTAGGTATCAACTTGGCTGGGACATGATTCTTAGTGATTTGGCAGTTATGTAATGATGTAATCATTCCCCAGTGACATGATTTAATATAATCAGCTGTGATCTGATGTAATTGTCCTATGTGTTGCAAATCCTCATTTCTATGATGATAATGAATTTGAATGCAATCTATAAGATTAGGTTGTATCTGATTCATTTTCTTTTGAAATATAAAAGAGATTAGACAAAAAAAGAGAACTTAAACAAGCAAGCAGAGTTCAAAGGGATCTACTCCCACCAAGAAAGAAGAGCCAGGAATAGAGCACATCCTTTGGATCTGAGTCCCTGCACTGTGAAACCCCTAGATCCAGACGCGACTGATGCTCAAATGCACGGAGATCGCCAAACCTTGCTGGGCCTACAGATGCGGAAAGAAGACAAGAACCTTTCCCCACAGGAGACAAAGAAAGAAAACCTGTCTCTTAAGGCCAACACCCTGAACGTGAACTTCTAGTCTCCTAAACTGTGAGATATTGAATTTCTGCTGA